ACCCGGTTACTAGCGTTGTAAGTCCGCAGACATACCGCTGTGCCACTGGGGGGGGGGGGGGGGGGAGGCAAAAGGACTGAAGTAACAACAGCTGGATTGATTATCAAAGTGGATTGACTATCGAAGTGTAAAGTGTGTCTGAAACTCTCGATGTTCGTTTCCCCGGTCCAATATGCTGACCATTAAGCTATGCACTTCTTCTTCTTCATAGGGATTCAGTCCATGTTTTGGACCAAGGAGGTTTAGCATTGACCTCTTCCTCCCTCTCAGGCATGGGCGCCCACAGAAATATTTTCAATGGGTGGGATGGGGCAAGACATGTATGGAGGGGATTAACTTTTATAGTGTAATTCAACAGACTAAAATAATATGTGTTATGTGTGCTTAAACGCAAACACAAATTTACAGTTTTCATAAAAATTACTCAAAATATTTAGTTTAACTACGATGTTAAGTTTACATCATAATAAGCGTAATTTTTTATGTAAGATAAGGGGAGGGCAAATTCCCCCTCTTGCCCCTTCCTGCGGATGCCTATACTCTTAGGAATTGTTATTTTGTTTAGATTGTTACTGAATCTAGCTAATAACCCTTCCTGCGATGCCTATACTCTTAGGAATTGTTATTTTGTTTACATTGTTACTGAATCTAGGTAATAACCCTTCCTGCGGATGCCTATACTCTTAGGAATTGTTATTTTGTTTACATTGTTACTGAATCTAGGTAATAACCCTTATTACATTGTTGCATTACTCACAGTATGTTAACTTTTGTCCATTGCCTACAGTTTTTAATTAACATACCTATTTCGTGCCATGTCCAATTCATGGAGTAATATTAACTCGTATATCAATAGTGGTTTGGTTTGTTTTGAATTTCGCGCAAAGCTACACAAGGGCTATTTGCGTTAGCCATCCTTAGTTCAGCAGTGAAAGATTAGATGGAAGGCAACTAGTCATCACCACCCACCGCCAACTCTTGGACTACTCTTGTACTAATGAATAGGTGGATTGACCGTCACATTATAACACTTCCAAGGCTAAAAAGATGAACATGTTAGGTGGGAGATTGCGAGTCGAGCGCTTTAACCACCTGGCCATGCCAGGCCGCCACGCACTAACGAATGATTTTAGAAAATTGCAATGTTCTTGAGACTTTATTTTAAAGTTATCCTTGACTCTCTTTCTCTACACATGTTTTTTGTAAGTTTTGTAGTTTTCACTTCTTTTTTCTTTTTACTTTTAGACTCTGCCTGTGGAGATTAATTCGACTGTAGGTTAGAAAAACTTATCCTGTAACTTTTTTCTGTATTCAAACATGTAATCTTACTCAGGTTTTTTCTTTTTTCTTTAGAGACAATTTGAAAAAGGAGAAATTCCATCTGGAACATTAATTTCCATATCCTGCTTGTAATATATGCCTTTAGGAAATATACACGCAGTCATGCATAAGGTTTTGCCAATACGCTTTTTATATATGATTTTTAAATATCTCAGGACAAGCTACAGATTCGACAATATTAAATATATGGACATGTTTCGCCACGAAATTATCATTACTGCAACTAGATGTACAGTTTGAGACAAAACATTCTTTACAGTTAATTATAATTCAGCGCCACCTAGGTAACAATAATAAGAATAACGTTGTTGTTGTTGTTTTTATTATAGACGCTCTTCTTCGAATGTATTTGATAATATTTATATGGAAGATACGCAGTAAAGTCTGCAGCAATCATGCTTTATGTCTAGCATATTAAAAGTTCCAGATATTTAGGGAAGAAAGTCTAGCACTCTTCCAACATAAATGAAAACATTGTCTTCACCTTTAGAATTTTTTTTAAACATATATATCTGTTGAATAACTCGAAGTTTTGTGTGAATGTGGGATACACTAAAATTGAAACTGACGATTTTGTTTGTTTTTTATCTTTAAACTAGCTGGAGTACCCGTCCATTGAACGGGTGAAACAAAAATTTGTATGTAACAAAGTATAGGAAATTGTGTTTCTATTTTTTTTTCTTAACATAATAAACATTAAAAGCGCAATAAAAATACATAAAGGTACCAATACTGAAAAGAAAGACGTACTGTTTTCAAGAAGTCTGTCAATATGAAATTAGATGGGGGGTCCACACACCCCTCATGACCTTCCTCGTGTCATCCCGTATCACTGTGTCAGATTTGGTGATGATTGATTAAGAAATGTGGAAACGTATAAGGAACAGACACACACACATATTGACATTTATATATAGATTACACGTGGGTACGAGTAACTCAAAGTTTTGTGTGAATGTGGAGTTCACAAAACTCGAAACTCTCGAACAATTTTTTTTCTCAATTAAATTAAGTGTTATTATGGGAAATATGCCAAAATGGATATACCATAATAAATATATATTCATATGATTCTGATAAACCTTTTGCCTCACCTAAAATTTAAGAAATATTCCTCAAACTATTAAATATCATAAATTATTTTTAAATGATTTCAATATCTGCTTTACCTCTTAGCCTTCGAAATGTCTCACTAAAGTTGGGTTCGTTTTTTCAAACTTATACTACATTTATTGCTTTTTAAATTTGGTTAAATTCAACATCAGATATCTAGCTTATATGTCAATATTAGTGTGACCCAACTTTGGTCAATGTCCCCTGGTGGTTCAGCGGTGAGTTTGAGGGCTTATGGCGATAAAATTTGGTGCTCAATCCCAGCGATGGGCACAGCACAGATAACTCTTTGAGTAGCTTTGCGCTTAAAAACAAACACGCAAATAAATCACCTGAAACATGATTCATAGAAATAGAACTGAAAGTTAACAGTGCACGTGACTCCCTGGTATAGCTAGAAAAGTGTTCGTGTATTTGATTTAAATAAGTGAGATATTTTAATCCAAAACAAACACAACTCGAACATATAATTTTTAAACGATACCATTTTCTAACGTGTTCTTGATTATTTTCTTCATCTAATCACAACAGATGACATCATGACCTTACTTGTGAATGAATCGAGAACGGTGAAGGACGTGAGAGTAGTTGGCATTCCAGATTACAAGGAACAGCAAAATAACGACCAATGAAGCTACTTGTTCTTTAGATACTTCCACTAGTTTTGTCATACTCGTGTGAAGGGATATGTAAGGAGTGATATCATTGGATGGCCAGTTTTCACATAGGTGATTGACTTGAGTGGCACGATTTATTTTTAATTAACCATCTTAAATTACACAATTCTTCCTTGAGCTAATTTAGCAAAAGCATCCATGGTGCAAGTGTAAACTTGTTATTGGTTGACCATCTCTGCGTGTGACACAATCTTAAAATTACCCCCAATTTATACTTTATATAGTTTTAATTATAGTCTCTAAGTCTTAGTAGAACTCAGCAGTAATAGTTGAAGTCCTCCCATCTTTAGAATAAACATCTTTTATTGCCAAAAACATTCCATTGTGTTGTATCCTCACTAAGCCATTTTATACGAAAAAGTATTGCATTGTTGTGCCAGTTTTCTGCTATAAAAAATATTGAATGTTTCACGAACATAATTCGTAATCGTAGAAAGACAGAGAGAAATTAAATTGAGTCTTCTTTTTTTCCGGGAAGGGTAGGGGGGGGGGGTAACAAAACCGGTACGATGGCGTTTAACG